AGAAGTCGCTGGACTAGTGGTCTTTGGACCTTTGCTGGAGGAGGACTTTGCTTCGTCCATTTCTTTCAACAGCTTGGCACGATCTTTTGGACCAAGAGTTTTCCAATAGTCGGAGGGAATGTCCTTTGGACGTTTGCTGCCTTTGTACGTTTTCACCACGCGAAGACCGTCCCAGTGAAAACCTTCAGGAATAGGGACCCCGGCCGGCGTTGTCGGGCTTGTAGTCCTCAGCCTTGTCTGCTGCAGTGACTTCGAGTTCGGGTTCCTCACCCCCCTGTTCGGGTTCACCTTCTGGTGCTTGTGATGCGGCAAGGTCAGCATCAGCTAACGGAATCGGATTGGGAGATTCGATGAGGTTGAGCTTTGGGTCATCAGGGATGGCTTCCTTTCGATCTTGCCTGACGCGCAAGGGAAAACTGAAACCACCTGGCAAGAGTTCGATTTTCTTTGTCCTCTGGATTGTCAAACTGTTGTGTTCAACATGGTAATCTAGTGCTTCCATTTTGGCGACTAGATGCTCCCCTCGCCACTTGTGTCCCGGCTGCACGTGTCGTGTTCGTTGCCATGGCAAAATGCTGAATGGCAAGTGGCCAATACTGGAGAGGCATACCCGATTGGACAAGATTGGTGCGTGCTCCCTCTAGCGTATTCCTGACTTCCCTTTCGATGAAGCTCTTGGAGGAGTCCACATACTCAACGGAGGTCTGGCGACGATACCCTAACTCCTTGATACCAGCGATCAACTCACGGGAATTGTCGGTGTAAATAACCTCAACTGCATCATCCGGGGCAACAAAATGCTGAAGTGCAATCACTACCTCATCCGAACTTTTGGATTGAGCAGGGTAAATACGCCGGAACTTTGTATGCAGGTCTTTTACCACCAACGCTACCCGTTCACCACGATTCCCTTCTTCGATGTTCGCGCGCACGACGACGTGATCAGCAATCAGATGGTCACCGAATGCCTTTGTCTGAACGCGACTCTCACCCCCTTTCTTTCGCGCCTGAGGTGCAAGCATCCTGGCTCGCTGACACACTTTGCAGAATGGTTTTTGGGGGAGTGATGAAACTGGTGTTTCGCAGACTGTTGTACACATCAAGTCTCCTACTTTTCGCGATCGTACCAGACGGCTTTCGTCATCGTCTGGCACTTCTTCATCAATGCCCTCATCCTCTTTCTTGTCCGATGGGCTCGAGATCGCTCCCGGCAGCGCAAACAACTTCTTCAGGGGCTTGTCCTTCTTGAACTTTCCCTTACCAAAGACTTTGCAATCGGAATCGAGACTGGGGCATGACCATCAACGCGAAGTTGAACGATTTTCTCGTCCGGTCTGACCAGGATGGGAGTACCATTTGCCGGCCAAACGAAGCTGTACCCTTGGTCAAGACACTTGATACCAACAGATAGCACAGCAGGGCATTCATCCAGCAAGTATGGCGCGCACGGTTCCAGTAGCTGCTTCATCCGAACATCGGCTACCTCACTTGCTTCGGTGGACCCGTTCGCAGTAATCAAACTGATGGTGTGAGGTGCCCTACGAGGGTTCTCTGCACCAGCAGCGTCCATGACTTTTCTGCTGAGGAGGTCTTGCTCACTCCCTGAGTCTACCAGCCAAGAGAACCTGCCCTCCCTTGGTGCCGGACTTGCTACGATGGTTGGAATCGTTGTTGGACATGACTTCAGTTTGATCAAGCTCCTGCAAGCACGGCGCGTGAGCAACGACTCGGTGCACTTGAAATGGCACGATGGCACATTAGGGCACTCGAAATTGCGAACGACTTCAGCCAATTGCCTAGCTTTCACCTTGGCCAAGTTGGTTGCCTTCGGGTCGCTCTTGGGCACACGATCGCTCGTGGCGTAGTGCAGATCGTACTTGCGTGGTCTCTTGACCATCTTGCAGTGTTCCCCACGAGCGGAAATGGTGCGGATCTCTGGCTTCATGACAAAGGTGACTCTTCGGACGGACGACTTTGACCTCCTTCGCGCTGGAGGAAGACAAGGCTTCTTGAGACAGGACTGACCAGGTACACCAGTTGCCAAACATGCAAACCGATTACTCAGGCAAATGGCGGCGTTCTTCGGGTCTCCCTTGGCTTTTCCTGGCTTAGGGGATTCCTTCCTGGGCTTCGTCTTTGGAGCCGGTGCCGCCTTTTCTCCATGTTTGAAAAAGCACTTGTCTCCCCTCCTACAGGTACCCTGTTGATCATACCTGCATGGAGTTCTGGCCATCTCTTCCTTAGTCATAGTTTCTTCTCTTTGTCCTCGCTCTTGTCCCTTGATATTCTTTCCGCTCTTTAGACGGCTGACGCTTCCTAGAAGGGTCGCGTTTGGGCTTCTCATGCTTGAACTTGCAATCTTTCCCTTTTCCACACTTACCCTCCAGGAAGGCCCAACATATTCCCTTCTCTCGGGAAGTTGGCCGTCCGCGCGATGGGGAGCGCTTTCGCCGAGGATCCACTGTTGGAGCTGCGTTCTTCTCACTTCGATCACCTGGCTTGAGCCGGTTTCGCTCAGCGATGCGTGACCGATTCTCGCGAAGGCATTCCCGATCTATCAAATCCTTGATGCTTTGCAGTAGGAACTTGTAAGACCGATGGTGTTCACCTTCCTTTGCACGATCGAACAGGTCGATGTCGTACCTCAAGATTGAGCTAGTTCGGATCTGCCTCAACAAGATATCCCGTAGCACGTTCTCATGCGGTGTTTCGGGCATACCGGCGATGGTAGCGTCCCAGCGGTTGATGAAGCGCTTCAAATCCGCCACGGTGTCGCCTACCTTCACCACATTGAGGAGATCTTCAACCCTGTAAAGGCTTCCAGCTTCTTCTGAGGTCTTGAAATAATCATCGAACATAAGAAGAATCATCCTTCCACGAACCTGGATGCCTAGCTTTGCCTTCTCTTCTTTGTAGTTGATGATTCGGTTGGCTAGGTCACCCTTTGCACTTCTGGTCAACGCGGCTGCCAATTTGGTATCCAAAGTGGTAAACTTACCTGGACTAGACAACCGGTCTTCCAGAACACTTCTCTCATCAATGGTATTATATACCTCCATCAACCAATCCCAGGCTGCATCAGGTTTGTCTGAACATGATTTGATCTCATCCCTCACATGATGTTTCCATTGCCGATAGGTTTCAGGGGTTGGCATATCGTTCAACTTAATGTGATCTGCCTCCTTGACCTTTGGCTCTTCGTCCGAATCCCTTTGGGTGAGTGACTTGACCAGTTCAATCACCTGCTCTGAGGTGATAGCACCTGACGAGGCTGGCTTGTGAGGTTCACGAATTGAAGGTGCAGGGCTATGGAACATATGAGCTGGTGTCTTGCCACTGTCCAGTCCGGTACCTCCATGAACAGGAAGCACAGGCTTGATTGGTGCAGTTGCCCCAGCAGGGGCATCACCAGTGACGGTGGCCGCAGGCACATTAGGTCCAAACAACCCACTCAAACGTGCACTAGCCTCTGCAGCAATAGTCTCAAATGTACCTTTGTTTCCTTGCTCGCCTTGCCTAGGCGTTACCATAGGCGAAGCAATTATGCGTTGGAACATACTCTGGCTCAACGGTGTCCTTGTTTTCAGCCCTCATGTCATCGATGATTTGTTGTAGGCTATAGTTCTCAATTTCTGCCTCCCTCAAACCAGACTGAAGTTTGAGTTCACGCTCGTCAAACTCTGCACGAAGTTTCACTACACCTTGTTCAGCACCAACTGTGATAGCGTTCACCGTTTGCTGACATTCATGCATGAGTTGCGTGCGCAACCTTCTTTGCTTCAGCTTCCAATGCTCTATCATTCTCTAGCTTGAAGATGCGTGCTTTTGCAGTGCTAAGTTCTGCCTGCAGCTTGTCATAGCTAGACTGGGCTTGTTGTTTCACCGATCTGACTTCATCATGGTGTCTGCCTTCTACTTCAATGATCGCCTGGTGGAACTTAGCTTTTACCGTTTCCATCCATTGTGCTAATACCTCCTTGTGCCTTCGTTCAGCCTCAGCAATGATAGCTTCTTCATTGCCGTTGTAGACTTGTTGAATGTTTTGCTGCACAAACTGAAAGTACGCCGTCACCGGGGCTGAACCCATGGGATCATCTAGATCTACAGTGGGCTCAGTCGAGAGACCGGCTGGCACAGCGACCGGCGATGTGGCATTACCAGGAATAGCGAGAGCGTCCATGGCTGTGGTTAGAGCACTACGGCTGATAACCTATAGAAACAGCCGTTAAGCTGCAACACCTGTTTTGGGCCGCGAGCTGCAGTACTTCGGTATGATGACCTCCTATACATATGTGCAGGGTAAAAGTGTACATATTACATGGAGTGAAAATACAATGATGAATTTTACCATATACTTACGCGGTGGCTTCCGCAAGCTTCCGCGACTGCAGTTTTGGCTTCTACGGGCAAGTTGGAGTTTACAAGTTTGCTTAAACTGTTCGTGGGAGGTTTTTGACACTGCTCAATTGCTGAAAATTGCCCCAGGAGCAACGGAACACTACGCATCAAACTGGGAGCGGGAAAGGACTGTAACAACACGAGCGAACTGAGACCTCTTTGCCAAACCTGACAAATATATATATATAGTTGAAACACTTTTTAAAACAAAGGGTAGCCCTTCAAACATCTTGGGTCCGACTCCTTGGCCAAGCTTCAAACATCCGATGGTCAATCCATTGACTGACCACATGGCATCTCTGGTACTTTTGAACCACCCAGCCATGGCAACTTAAATGGCCAGTAGATGCGCCACGCTCCCGTTCTCTGGAACGAACCCTGTGAAACTTGTCATCGTGTGATGATAGGATCTGGTAGGATTTGGAAACTGAAATTGGCTAGATCTGCAATCATCTGCGCCTTCATCTAAACGGCCCTTGGGTTTGTTTTGCCGCAGGATGCTAAAGGCTGGGAGCTGCACGAACGGAGATTGTAGAAGCATGTGGCTCCTCAAATCCTGCTCCTGCATTTAAGAAACCAGCGATCAACTTGTGCGTCCATGCCTTGAGCCATGTTGGTCCCGACCAGCGGTAGAGGTCCTTCAACAAGGTCAATGCAGGGTGTTGATCATGGCTTGTCGATATCCAGCACGAGCCGTCCTCCATACCATCGCGCAAGGACTTTACCTCCACGGTGTAACAACATCGGGCAACAACTTTAAACATAAAGACAAGTGTAGGGAATCTTTCTGAACACGATCTGTGTGGACACTTACACCGTTTTGCAGCTTGCACGTTCCTGCTCACGACCACGATCTGGAGGTGGTGCAGCTGTCGTCAAATCAGCCTACCCTGTCGTCTATATAGTATCGGTATCGCCAATCAACAAACATCACAGTATCCGACCTGGCCTCTGTGCGAACAATCACCTTCTTGTCGACGGTAAACTTCTCTCCTTTGCGAAGCCCACCAAAGACCTTGTCTACCACAATGGCATGAACACAAATGTTCAATCTCTGCCAAGGCCTGAAACAACCACTGCTCGGACTAACTTTACTGAGGGCAAGGCAGAATACTTGCTTTTCCTCAGGCCACAAGCAAGTTGGCCCACCTGCAACCTTTTTGAACATGTTGATGTAGGGGCGGGGAACCCCCAACATGCACAAGTTTACCATTTGCCTATCTTCCCGCCCGGTACTTGCAGTGACCTGACACCTCTAGATCATATCAAATGGCATGGTTGACTTGAGGCCAGGGGGAGGAGGTCGAAAGCTAGCCGAATCGCACCGGATGTACTAGTTACATAGTCGGCAAAGCATGTAGTGATTACATGTTTTGGGAGGAAGGTTGCTATGTACATACTTTGCGCGAAGGAATGTAAATGTGACATCGATGACTGGGAAGGGTACATTGGAACAACCCGGGTGCACTCGTTGGCAGGCACGAAGATGCGTGATCGGCAAATCTGGGGGGTAAATTTACCCCCCGCTTTTGTATGCCTTGAGTCGGAAAGAGGGGTAAGCATTTCTGGCATCACAAGGACTGTGCATACACTAGGGCGTCCGTAGTGTAGGATAAGCACGGGTAAAAGGTATAAGGAGTAGAGTGTCTTGAGGAAATAGCCGGCTTATGGTTATGGCAAATCTGGGGGTAAATTTACCCCCCGCTTATGTATGCCTTGAGCCGGAACGAGGGGTAAGCATCACAAGGACTGTGCATACACTAGGGTGTCCGTAGTGTAGGATAAGCACTGGCAAAAGCCGGTGTATGGTTATAGCAAGCCAGGGGGGTAAATTTACCGCCCGCTTATGCATGCATTAGGTCGGTGAAGTACAAGTCCTATGCAGCAAGCAGCAGCCAGCAGCAGCAGCAGCAACCGCCAACCAGCAGCCAGCCAGCAGCACCACGCAGCAGCAGCGCCGCACCAAGCCGCAGCAGCAGCAGCAGCGGCGTCGTCAGCAACAGCAGCAGCACTACCAAGCCGCAACAAGTAGCAAAGCAGCAGCAACAAAAGCGGCAACCAGCGGCAGCAGCAAACAGCAGCAGCAAGCAGAAGAGCGGCAGCAGCAGCACCGTTTACACCAAGCCACCGTTTACACCCAACCAACCACGTTCACACGTTCAACCAACCCCTGCTACACGGCGCAGCTGGGAGTCGAACCGTGGGGGGGGGGGGGGGGGGGGGGGGGGTGGTTAGCGTGATATATCAAGCTTTAAGGCACACAGCTCATCCCACTACCAATTGCTAAAGCAAAGAAGAACTCAGCTAGCATGCTGCATGCTAGCTTTCGTGATTATGGTTCATTTAAACAGCAGGCAAAAGCACAGAATTCGCCTCAATCTTTATGTTCCATCAGTCTTGGATCCGCTATAGTGTGACATGATTTTGTCCTTGGGCCGTCGACGGCACAGCAAATGCCCTGTCGGCCTCAACCAATTGAGGCCTCAGTGTTGTCAAGGACCTCCACTAGAATCTGTGAAGAATTGCTTCTTCTTCCTCCTACATACCACAACTAACCATACGGTATTGTATGGTTAAGCTTCCCTAAACATCTAGGAACCCAATGAGTAGTGCGCTATCCTGCGTCCTAGGTAGTAGCTACTTAAGCCACATCTTCTACTAGCTACCTAGCTACCTCTACTACAGCCCAACCCCCTTAAAAGAAGCATATATGTTGCTGTTGCTGTGTTGTCGAGACGGCGCCCGCTCTGAATGTCCAATTCGGACCCCGCACTTCTTCCAGTCCTGCTCCACCCGCTCGGCGAGAGTTTGCTTCGGTTCCCCTGAGGGCGCCCAGAAACAGCGACGGAATTGGATTCAGGATGATTCAGGTAGTTCTCACATGGAAAAGAATAACTTCTATACTTCTACAGTTCTTCTCACAGTCATGTATATACTTGTATTTTCACAAGTTTGACATGTACATGAGCTACTATGCTACTTGCAAATGAGTCAAGACCCGAAATGATGCAAGTCAAACATCGCTGCCCCTGCTCCAGATCAAATACGTGTTGTCTGAAAGTTGGTGGAATTAGAATTGCTCCGTTTCGTAACCCCCTGCCTCTGCCACAGCAACATTCAAAAGGAATGTGCCCCACAGCGCAAACATCATAGACTCGTTAGACACAGTGCGAGTAGCAGCAAGTCAATCGACAGAACCCCAGCATTGTGCTAAATTGAATTGGCCTTCTTCAGCTTTCCTATGGCTTTCCTTCCAGGCAACGCAAATCTTGAATGACTTGGCTGAACTCTTGCGCAATTGCAATTTGGCAACTTGCCTGCAAACCTCCATGGTAGTTTGTTCGGGATGTTGTCCTACCCATACAGCTACAGCAAAAGCTTTGTCCTTGGTCTCCTCTTTGGTCGACTTATCCTGCAGCACACATCTTCAACAAGGCGAAGACATCGATCATGCTCTCTACAAACACACGCAAGCCATTCAGCGTGTCAAGCTAGCAATCAACCAAAGCCTACAGTACCCGTCTCGCTCTCCCTCGAGTGGTTTTCTGGACGGCCTCCGCATCCTCATCTTCCAAGTCCAAATCTTCCAACTGGCAAGAGGCTGGGAGGCTGTGATTCATCGGGGCTAGTTTCAATATCAGCAGGCCAAGTTAGAAAACCGCCCAATTCAATTCTACTTCCTTCGCAAAAAATGCCCGTTCCCTGACGGGCATCAAATATCAAACGCTTTGGACAAAACAAAGACCTAAATAAGTAGCCCAGTTGCTATGTTAAACTCAATCAATACTGCGCCAGCACATATCAAAGCCAAAGCGATGACCACTTCCTTCTTTGCGAAGCTGCTTGGTATCTGTCTTTGGATGGACGCCTTGATTTTCACGTTGTACACCGTGTGTGCTCGGTCAGCCTTCCTGCAAAGCTCAGCTGCAGATTTCACAGGGGCGATGTCTGAATGATGAGGATCAGCCGTCATGGAAACCAAACCAAACCCCCAAGCCACCGAAGCACAAACAAGCTTCTTGTTACTGGTAGTAAGGTCAGGAGCTACTAGTAGCTTCTTGCTCCTAGTAGCGATGCCCTTTGTTACTACTAGTGTCCTAAAGAGAGAGCTCTGGGCAAAGCACTACTTGTAGCATAGGCATGAATCTTGGAGTTCAACTCTTGTTGAGGATGGTTCGCACAGGCACAGCAAAGCAATCTGTTTGGATTGGCAGTTGATGGGCCAATAGTTGAAGCTCAGAGCTCAGGATTCAGCTGCCAAGGTGCTCTACAACTTATCATGCCTCACTCTTCATTATTCGTCTCATCTCAAGGTCTAGATACTAGCTGCGTGTTCTTGCACCATTCTTGCCAGCTCCAGATTGAGTATCCTGTATCACCTCCTTCAATGGTGTATGATACAATAGTAGTGGGGAGAAACCTGTCACCAAAGAAAACCTTCGCTGACAAAAATAACATTGTTCCAGGACACGATTGGAAAAGGACCCGCATTGCTGGCTAGAGCGTGAATAACTTATTCAACCCAGATTTGACGCTTGACCATAAACACAAAAAGGAAAACACAGTGACAATAAATCCCGTGGGTTTGGGGGTTGCTGCCAAATCTGCCAATGGTGGGATTGTTGAAACTCTCCGAGACACTTGAGCAGACGACGGCGTGGTGCAGGTCTTGGCTCGTCCTGCGAAGGAGGGAGCACGATTGCTCGACAATGCGTAATTGTCCTGAACGCCTCTAGCTTGTAGACACAAACTGCACAATAAGGTCGCTTTAACGGCTTTAAGAGTAACTTATCTTAAACATCTTAAACTGCCGAACCCCCTAAATACTTGGATCCGTGAGTCTCACGGGAGGTCTTTGGTTCTATTGCTGACATTGTCCATTTTGTGACCCTACATGTTACATGTGGGATTCAGTCACACTTGCTTCCTGCCTGCTCACCAGATTGTTCCTCAACTCTCCGGGCTTCTGGCCTTAGACATCCACCAAGCCCACAAAACGTCACCCTGCAGCAAAGCCCTGTGAGGGTTGCCTGCTCTTCAAACTTCCTTGACACTACATTGAAGAAACAGGAGCTTCAATACTGACTGAAACTCGTGTAAATCTCGTGTGGGGTTGACTTCGGGGTTGTTGTTCGTCAAGCTTCGAGTCACGTGTTGCATGGCAGCCTCCTGATAATCTACAGTATACGCCTTGCTACAGTAAGAACTGCTCGCCTCAAGACTCCGCAAGTGCCAGCAAGCGCTAGTAGGGATGTTGCTACTAAGCAAGCGTGATTCCATTCCAGCCACATGGTTGCCATGTGCCAAGTGATGGCCCAAGTCAAAACTATTACAAACATCAAGCAAGTCTACTGTACATCTAGGGCAACCTGCTGCTCCTCTTTCTCCTTCGGCTCAAGCCGGCAGCACCGGGGCGGTATAATTATTGAGGCCAGCTTGTTGTCACGGCTTGCAGCCGCTCTGTTTATATAAGTGTGAGGGGTGTCGATCGCTGGTCAGACGGATGATCTGAAATCAAACATCCTACTGTAATGAATTTTGCAGAGTTCACTCTTGCTTTCGGGTGGTCCAAGAGAGGCATGAGTTGGCATCCACGTCATATGTCCATCCATCGCATCCATGTCCTATTAGTTGCCCGGGCATCCATGGGTTTTTTCATACATGTCCTGCGCCCAAAACCTAAACATTTTTTACCTGCGTATATTCTGAAAGACCCCATCCAATCCCAAACGCGCACATCAACAGATTTTTGTTATAGTATAGCATAAATCCCGCAGGCTTTCCAGTCATGAGTCATACCTGAGAAAAGGAGAGGACGAAAGCCAGCGAGAGATCAATATGGTAGTGCAAGACTGGGAGGAAAAAATAGCGGAGCACTTATTGTTGAATGCCTGTAGCTTTCGTGGAGCTTGTATCAACGTGGAGTAGATCAAGATCGGAGCACAGCATGAAGTGTTGAATGTTTTAGGTTTTCTCGATTTTCCTGGCACGGTGCTCTCTGGAGCGTCTCTGTTTGGTGGTCTACTTGAGAATCCGTGTAAAAATAAGCGTCAGTGAAGACCAGGAGAAGGATGTCCGAAAGGTGGTTTTTGGTTGTTTTGAAATGTGTTTCGGGCATCGTGCATCAATCCGAAGCCCTATAAAGAGCAGGGCTGGGAGAAAAAAAGAGGAGAGCACTCATTCTTGAATGGTTGTAGTTTTCGTGGAGCTGGTATCACTGCGACAAAGATGAAGATCGGAGCACAGCATGAAGTGTTGAATGTTTTTAGTATTCTTGATTTGCTTGATGCGGCGCCTTCTGGAGCATCCCTCGTTGGTAATCCGTGCAAAAAGAACGTCAGTGAACACCAGGAGAATGATGTCCGAAATGGTTTTTGTGGTTGTGTTGAATTGTGTTTCGGGTATCGTGCATCAATGCGAAGCCCTATAGAGGGGAGGAAAAATAGCAGAGCACCTTTGGTTGGAAGCTTGTAGTTTTGTGGAGCTGGTGTCACTGCGACTGAGATCAAGATCGGAGCACAGCATGAAGTTTTGAACGCTTGCAGCTTTTTTGCTTCTATTGCGGCGCTCTTATCCCCAAGCCTCTACCTCGTCCACCTGGACATGCTCACATCGTTCGCTCCCAGAGCGTTCACTCTTTGTTGCTCGGTCCTTCTTGGTATGATCAGAGCTACACAGTCCCTATGCCCTGCTCAGGACTAGAAAACAGGCCCCTTCATGATGCTAATGATGCGCTACTCGGCGTCCATTACATCACTCGCATCACCAAACACCATTTTCATTGCTTTTCTGACCATCGCTTTGAGCGCTCTCCCCTACCAAGCTCCGGGTTCACCCTCTCAAATGGTGCCTTTTCGTGGCCTCCCCCCCACACCCCCTTAACTCACTTCGTTCGCTCTAAGAGCTCAAGCCTAGCCTATCGGCTGGCTTTCGTAATCAATCATGTTACATGTTCGTTAAAATGAAACTTGGGCTAATTGAAGAAACTTTAAGAACATGGGTGAAGGGCTACCACTATGACCCTTCCCCGGTGGAAACGTGCCTTCCGCATGTTGAAGTCATCCTCCGGAGCTTCCCGGAGTTCTCCGCCTGGCTACGGGGAGATGACTGAACATTTGCCTTTTAAAAAAGGCATGGACGAACATGGTGGAATCTGGCCTTGCTCGATTGCATCTTGGTATTTGGCGTACCTCTCTTGACTTCGTGAGATCACCCTTTCATGAACATAACAAAGTGCAAAAAGCCTTGGCGACAAGCTCTCATGGCATGGGAGTGCGGTACAGTAGTTAAGAAAGTTGTTTACTGTCTCTACTGGCTGCCATTTGGTGGAAGAAACTTGGAGTCACAACACGGAAAGGTTTGATCTGGTTTCTAGTTCCGCTTGGGAATGCCAACGCTTCGACCAAGCGCTCGATTTGACAACCATCGAGGCCTCAGTCACTGAGGCCTTGACCGTTCAAGATTTCTTTTCAGAAAGTCTCGCAGTGGCCCGAGGACCTGACAAGTCTGCGAGAGAGAAGTGATAATATAACTGCTTTTAGAAGACAAAACAAAGACTTCTTATGAATTTAGGCCAAAACTCTGGGGACGAGTCAGCCTGACAACCATTCATGACCATCATGACCTTAGCATCTTAACTTAGATCAGTTTGTTCTGCTTCATAGATACTGTACGCTGTAGCAACAAACGTACTCCTGCGATACCATCCCCTAATGGCAGGTTCCCACACCCCACCCCACCCCACCACCCCACACCGCGGCCAAATGTCATATATGAAAACATAACTCTATAGACTGCAACGTGAGACACATTTGGATCTGCACACATGTGGCATCGTTTTTTGAAGGGCTGAAGTGCTGTTGGCTCTGGAGCAAATAGAGTTCTAACATGTTGGAACTAGTGTTGGACTTCATTGTTTGGCTTATATATAGATAATTCTATACTTATACTTGAGATCGCCTTCTGATTGGAGCCTCTTTCTGTGCCATTTCCCACTCTTCACACTGCTCACGGACCCGATCGAAGACGTCTTTGGTGATCACCAAACAGGTAACATCGCCCTTCGCGTAGATGCTAGCCTGAAAGACACGTCAGCGTCCATGGCCCTACCCGCCAAGCCAGCTCCGATCCATTTGTAGTGCACTACACCATTGCACATGGCAAAGGACGCTACTAAGGGCTCCTGGCATCGCTACTAGTAGCAAGAAGCTGTTAGGAACAATAAAGCTACTAGGGGCTCCTGGCCTTACTACCAGGAACAAGAAGCTACTAGGGGCTCCTGGCATCGCTACTAGTAGCAAGAAGCTATTAGGAACAATAAAGCTACTAGGGGCTCCTGGC